CTATCTATCTATCTATCTATCTATCTATCTATCTATCTATCTATCTAATTTCCCATTCCCCTTTTGCAGTTGAAATTCTGTAGTTCTACATTTAGGAACTATGACTCTAAATGGTTAGTCAAGGTTTATGTTTTCTTCTCAAAAACTCAGATCTAATTATCTAATCAGCAAAATCTCTCAAGTGGATGACATACTTATAGAGATTACAACTAAAGAAATTATATTCAATGCACAATAATCCTGAATGTCTTATTTTAAACCCTAAATTTATTATTTCTGTAGTCCATATATCATAAATTATGAAACTTTCCTTACTGAGATAGAAAATTTCTAACATTTTGAGGCCATGGTGAAAAAAATCTGTAAATTGAGAGAAGGGGTTGCAAGTTAATCAAAATTTGGGAGAAATTTCAAATGTATCCAATATTTGTCTTACTCTCTATAGCTCTACATTTATTTTTTATTTTTTATGAACGTTCTATGTAGTATCTTCATTTACACATCAATGTTTTAGGTTGCCCAACTCCAGAATGACTCTTGGTAGCTTCTCAATTAAAAAGAACGGTCTCATATTGAGAAAGAGAGCTGTGCAGAGGAAATAAATAAAAAAGAATGCTCCATCCATCCCTCAACTTCAAAGGGCTTTAACCCAAGGCTTGGAGGAAGAGTCAGTTTATTAAATCTTGTTTAAAGAGGAATATGGTGGGGTTATAACCAGAAGATGCTGTTCCAAAGGATAGGTGTACTATCAGAGGAGGAGTGCTTCCTACTTTAAGTTAGATAACATCTTTGAAACAAGCCTTCTCTGTTAATCAAACAGGAAGGACAGATCCTACAGAAAATAGATAGCTCTGATAACTAGGACTTTTAAGACTTTAAAGATAATAATCATACCATTCAATTGCACCTGGAAGCTTACTGGTAACATTGCAGCTATCAGAACAGGCCTGAAACATGGGCTTAGTAAGGTATGCTCATCACTGTTTCTACATTTGAATTTTTGATCAAGTACACATTTTGAGCGATCCTCAAGGAAGCATCATGTACAGCACATTTCAATATTATACATACAAGATAACCAAGTTATATCTGTCCATACAAAGTCTCCAAATCCAAGAATGGATACAACCGGTGCACACGTCTGCAAGCTGCCACCTGCTTTCAAACAGGTAAGAGAATCCAGGAAAATCCCAGACTTCACAGAGTCCTAGTACAACCCCAATCGAAACCAGAGGTAGAACCTGCAAGAGCCACATATCTGCAAGAAAGCACTGCCACTTCGCCTTGGTTCAATCCTTCACCCCCATTAAAACTAATTTGGTTAATTCATACAATTATCAGATTTGACATATTCGTACAATGTAAAAGTATAATTTAGTTAGATATCTACAATGGATATCAATCAGGAGCAGATCTATTAGATAAGCAACAATACACAAACACATAAGCAAATAACATACTGAATTATTCCTCCATTGGTACAAATGGCCATGCTGTTCAGCAGTAGCCATGCATGTTGCTCTAACATCTAGAGTCAGAAGAAAGTACAGAACTACTGGTCCTCTGGTGTAGTGGTCTAGTGTTCTGACACACTACATAAATGTCAACCTATTATATCTTATTACAAACTAATAAAAACTTTGGAGAAGGAAGGAACAGTTAGATTATCTTGCCTTATCTGCATCCATTTCTCCAAAATAAAATATTTCACTGGAAGTTTTTATTCTTTCCAAAAAATTTCAAATGGGAAGGCGGAAAAGGATTTTAAAATGCTGTGTGTTTTTTTTTCCTGAGTCATTACATAACTAATTCTGCAATGTTATTCAGTATGCTCATCCAAAAAACACCTTCCTGAAACATGAATTATCAGAATGTCCAAAGTCATGCCTAGCTTTGAAATAGTTATCTTAATTTTACCCCTTCTTAAATCAATTTTAATGTGCTGAAGAAAGGCAATTTCAAAGTATCAGCATTAATCAGCAAAGATCAAGAAAAGGCTAATTTGCAAAGTAGAGATAAACTCAATTCTGTTACCTGTGTCTTAGATTTGGATCACAGTACTAAGTCATTCAGTTACCAATGCTGAGATGCTGATCACCAGCAATTATTTGGACATCATTAAACCAGAACTTTATGAATTCCTTTTAACTTCATTGTTGCTTAAGCCATAATAAAATGCTTAGTGTTTGAGATTTCACAACGTATTTGTACTTTTGACTGCAACAAGAAACCATGTCTTTATCTCATCAAGTTAGATCATATAATTTATTAAAGTATACACTGCATAAACAGTAGTTTATATCTTCTAAAATTGGGTCAACTATATTAGATATTGTTATAGTAAGTTAAGAATTAATATACTAACATACATGATCTTGCTGTAATCTTTAATCTGTAATCAGATTAAAGATATATTTTAGATATAAGAATCTGATGATACACAGCTTCTGAAGGCCCAATCCTGAAATAACTTTATTCCAGTTTCTTTATACAGAGTTGTTAACTTGGAAGAAGAAAGTTTCTTTATCTATTCAGAAACTGTTTAGCAGTCAAATTTGTCAATTCTTTAATTATCTAAAGATAATTATTAACGTATCACCCAACAAAGTATATCCATTAAAAAGTGATTGAGAAAGTTACTATTTGCAGTTGTTATCCTATATTTAAATAGATTTCATAGAAACATTGATTCTTTGCTAAACTTATATGGCTTGAGGCTTTCTCATTCTTTCTACAGAAGCAAATTTTCAGTTACTCTAAAGCAATTATTTGGTTCGTCCAAATAATATATAAGATCCAATCCCATCTTATATTTAATGGATTTGAAATGGCATAAATGAAATAAATTTCCGTCAAGGTCTCATCTAATAGATTAAAAAAGAGTCTAACAGAGGATGGTGGGCTACCATCACTACACTGCTCTTATCTAAAGTAACACAAATATTTAGCAACAACCAAAGCTAATAGTTCACTATTACATTCACTCAAGAAAATGTCAATCTAAAACTAGATGCTTTGCAGTAAAAATGTTTAAGGCTAGACAAAGTTAAGCTTATACTTAATTACATTGTGATCATTCTTCATATTGCAAAAATGAAAAACAACTGTCAGCAAATAAATATTGGTACAGGATACAGAGTCACCTGTACAAAAATCCATTAAAGGCTGTATTGTAGGACATCAGTATGCAATTTCGTCAATGATTTATCCCTTTACATAAAAGTATGTTCATATGAGAGGAAATAAACTGCTTTCTTTCTAAACTCAGTTTTCTAAAGGTACATCAATCTTCCCCTGTCTGATACCCACCAAATGCAATTGACTTCACCCGATGCTTGATGTGGATCTCAATACACCGGGAGGGCACCAGGTTGAAGAAGCCAGCACAAAATGCAGCTGTTATTTTTCCATCTACCAGCCCATCAAGGGGGTTGTGTGTTTTTTTTCCAACTCTTTCTTTGTACACCACTCATTCAAGCCATTTGTTATATTAGCCAACTTGAATAAAACCCTGATTTAAGCAGAATTCCAGTGACCAAGTTTATCTAGGTGAGAGATGGGGGTTGGTGCGAAGCTAGCCAGTAAGCAAGCAGATGAACGCAAAGAAAGCAGCGACAACAGCAGAAGCAGACAAACCTAAAAATGAAAAAAATGTTGCATTTATTAACTCTTTTCCAAACCCTCCCCCCAAGCTTTCTTCAGCAAAGCCAGAGATGCAGGGCAAAGACTAGCCTGGCAACATGCAGGGGAAGCAAGCTACCCCAGATGCACATTCGCTGCATAGGTACGTAGAGGCATATATAATAAGAGTTAAAACCTTGTGTAACCCCCGCCCAGAGAGGAAGCAGAGGAATTGCCTCAAGAGTCGGCCAGGGAAGCCCCCGCAGCCACCACAGGGGCGCGTCGGGTGGGTAAACCGACAAGTGCGCAGCGGTGGCGCATCGCCTGCCTGAGGTGCCCAGGCGCCTCCCCTTCCTCCCCACATCCCCACGCTGCGGAACCCGAGGCATACCTAGGACCACACAGACCACGTCCAGCACCACATAAGGCAGCCGCGTCTTGTCAAACATCTCGGGGCTGAGGTGATGGTGGTGGCGGTGCCGCCCTCAAGCCAGAGACTCGGTGGGGACCAGAGCGGCGAGCAGGAGAAACGGGCTGGGAGCCCCAGCTCAACCGCCTCCAGCCACAGGGCCAACCGAGGCGGGCAGGGCGAGGGGAGGGGGAAACAAAAAACGGGGTAGCCCGAGCGCGCAGCTTCTCCGCCCAACAGCGTTGCCTGACACCCGAAGCGCCGGTACTAATGCGGCTCGCGGGAGGATGGGCCGCGCTTTAAGGAGGGGGAGGGCCCGAAGCCAGGAACGAAGGCGGGCGGGGGAAGGAGCAGACTCCGCCCCCTTTGGCCCGCACCCGCCGCGTGCCCAGAAACCCTACTCTCGCCGCCCCGTTGTCGAACTGAAGTAGCCCTGCCCCACCAGAGACGTCATAACGATTGGCTCCGCCCACTTCCCGTTTTCTGACCCTTGACGTTTAAGCGGCTCTCTGGTTCGCTGCGGCGAAGTTCGAAGCACGGACGCGGATCCAGGCCACGCCCTTCTCCCGGTTGGACCGGGTCGCCTTCATTCATTCGCTCCCACGAGCGGCGTCCGGTTGTTTCTTGTTTCTTCCTTCTCCCGGTTGGACCGGGTCGCCTTCATTCATTCGCTCCCGCGAGCGGCGTCCGGTTGTTTTTTTATTTCTTTTCTGGGTTGTTGTTGTTTTGCCCTGCTTCCTGGAAGAAGCAGGGCAAAACGAGAAGAAACTGATTCTCAATCGCTCCTTTTGCACTTTTAGCTTGTGTTTTCTTAATTACCTTTCTTAATTTCTTAATTACCGGATCTACCGTTTAAACTTGAGAAAGGGCGAGGTGGGGGCGGGGAGGCTTTTCTACGTGGAGGGGAAACGGACTAGAAAGTAATTATTACCACATTCTTTCGCGAAATATTTGGCAAGCTTAACTTAAACAAGTCTAGGCAGATATAGAAGATCTGGAAAGCTGGGTTAGTCTGTTGCAAAACAAAAACAAAGCCGGTTATTTCAAAATCATTATCCTTGTTTGCTCAGAAATTAATCTTACTGTGCTCTGTGGGTTTCTCAGGTAAATGAAACCAGAATTGATTTCTGACAATGGTGATGTCAAAATAAATAAATAAACGAAAAATCTTTGGGTGATCATTCTCCAGCTGTGATAGACTGTAACTCTCATTGGCTTGGATTTTAATTGTAAGTGTTGGAAGAAAAATCCAGTCCGGTTCCAAAGACTAGAGAAAAATGCTGGAAATAAAATGGAGGGTGGCTTACAAGGAAAGTAGGTCTCTGTTTATTTGGTTTCTAGAAGCTTCCTTGACAGTAGCATGTTTCTGGGGAGGTTGACAAAATGGCTGAGTGAGTGGATGGATTTTTATAAGATTCTGGGGTTTGGTGATTGAGATGCTCCAGGGGGTTGTGCAATGTAGAGAGCCTTGTATCTTTTACTATTTCAATGATGGTGGGTTAATCCTATTGTGTCCTAAAGGTCATGTCCTCTCCTTAGAATTTGGGTGGGGGAATGTAACTTCTTAATCCCATCAGCTCCGGCCATATTGTAAAATAATACTTCAAAGATCTGGAAAAAGATGAAAATAGAATGTTAATTAAGTACTCTTTTTAAAATGTTTAAAATCTCTGTCTTTTATTGTCTAGACTCTAGATCTCTGAGGGATCATGGAACTGGTTAGAGAACATGATTCACCCATCTATAATAAAGCTTAATTTTATACAATAGAAAGTTGCATTACAGCTCTGTAGGAGATTGTTCCACAGAGTTGGTTGCGTCTGAAGAAATATATTTTGAACAATATCAAAAGATGTGGGGTTTTTTTTTTTGCATACCTCATGTGATGAATGGATTGTGATTATATAACCTCATGATGCCAGATGAATAATTGTCTTGATAGACTTGTATTATTTTAAGGAACTTTAATTTAAAATATTTATTTCATGATTAAAAACTCTTGTCACATATATATTAATATCATTAAATATTTCACTAATTATTTGAAATTTCCATACTTCTACTAATTGAAACAAAAGTTGTAGAAAAGAATTAACAGATTAACTTGACTAGCAATAAAACACTTCGTTTGTTACATACTTACTATGGCTCACAATTCATTGAACACTTCCAATCTTTTGCTGGTTTCACAGAGCTCCACCTAATCATGAGTTTCTCGGCATCTGTTAATATGCTTCTTTCCTTACTTGCCAGTGAGTTCTGCCCTAACAAACATATATGAAAAAATCTACAGCTTATTTTAGAGATGTCTCTTTGATTAATGGGGAACTTAATCTTTGATAGATTATATGAAACAAACAAACTTAAGCCAGCAGTGGAGAAACCAGCCAACCCAGACATATTTTGAAGAAACCATGGAAAATAGGTCATCAGGATTTGCCTATTAACCTACCAGTTTAAAAGGGACTAAGCTCTAAAAGGGATTTTAATTGCAAGCGAGCAACTAAGCTGTGGTAGAAAGGAAGATTAAATTGGAAAGCCCAAATTGAAGAACCCATGACAAATCAAAAGTTTACCAAGTCTCACTTTAGTCTGCTAAATCTAAAAAAAGAAAAGCTAATAGGTTCATCTGGAAAAAGCTTTAAATCAATATACAGTACAAGTGGTATCAAACCTGTAATGTGAAAATATATTTCTGATAACTGTCTTCTTGAACAGAGTTCCCCAACATTTCCGGCTTTGTGGACAAGGGGGGAGAGAGAGGATGGTTTAGCGCTAGTAGTATGTGCGCGTGCATGCTGCTCTATGTGCACGAGTGGCATGCACATGCTCCTACCGCTCACACAAATGGAGCGTACACGTACTCACCAGCCATTTCCACAGCCCAGAGGTTGGGGATCTCTGTTCTTTAAAACATTTGCTTCACTAGTTCAGTCAGAATCTGCGATAACACTATTAGAAATAGTAGTAGCTTTATTATATGCTTACAGCTATGAGCACACTAGATATAGAATAAAGCAACTGTTCAAACAATAATACATTGCAGTTACTTATAGCATAATATACAGTCCAAACTTAAGATAACATTCTAAATTATTGTATACAGTACATTTACAGAGAAATTGAGTTACTAATTACATTTACTAGGTGATTAAACAAATTACTATCTATACTGGCTTAAAAGGAGATAAGTAAAATAAACTTACGGGTTTGAGATGATAACATGACATAGGTAGTATCAAGTCATTTTTTTTCCTCCAATAGTGGTAGAACATGTGAAAATGATAGCTTTAAAAATAAAAACTATTTTAGAGTTCATAGTACATCTTTCCCAGGAAATGAATGATGGAAAAAAATTGAAGTAATTTTAACTGGAGGAGACTTAATGGACTATAAGGAACAGGAGTAACTGGCCTTTTGCAGCACTAATTAATTTTTCCAATTAATTTTTCACAAGCCAAAAATGAGCTTAAGAGCTTTTGAGCTTTTTAAATAAGCTTTTGAGTTTGACAGTGTTTTGTGCTCTTAAAGAACATTTGGTCCCAGTGACTGACTTAGATTGGATCCTGCAACATTATCCTGGGACATGTATATCGGCCTTTATTCGCAGAGGCCAGTATTTGAACAGTATTATTTTGCCAATGTGTTTTTAAAATGATTTTCATGTATTTATTTGTATCCTAAATTTCCTAAATTAAAGCTCAATGTGGCTCTTATGAGAAGATTCATTTTTACCCCAGTAACAACAAACTTGTGGCAGTAGCTGGGCTGACAGAAAGTGACTATCTCAGTGTCATACACTGACTTTCTGTGGCTGAGAATCACAGTGGATTTGAATCTTAAATATAGCTTGATGAAAGTATATTTCTTAAAATCTGGCTATCAATATCTGGCAATTACTGCAATGCCAATGGACATCAGAAAGCAATACAATGTGATGCAAACCCAATGGACCCATTTTTCGCCACATTTCATCTCGTTTACATTGCTAAGGGTTGCTATTCCTAACATTAAATTCTGATGTAGGCATCACTTCCATGCAGTAGATTTAATCTTGTGTAAAGGATACAGCCAAGTCAAGTGTATATTTACTTAGAGCCAAACTTGACTGTGTTTAATCATTTTCCTCAACGGATTACAGTTGGGCTGCTGCCTGCTACTTTGCCATAAATGATGTATAGAGGAAAAAAATGTCAGGTCTTGCTCTGGATTTTCATAATGTGTTTACCGTACTACTGAGATGTATTCTAAATTTATTACATGCAAAGGCACGATTATTTCTGTTTTTCTTGAAAATCAAGATTAATCTCTTTCTGTAAAATACAACAAATGTCCACAAAATTATCATTAATTTAAGTATCCTTAGCCACAAAATGTCATCAAGCCACAAAACAGAAAGTTACTAGAGATTAATTAGCTTCAATGTATATAATGTTGCAGTCAGACATATCCACTAATTGTCAGAATGATGTGTTTGATACTTAAAAGATTTTGAATTTCCAGGGAAATTACTATCACCAGTAACAGTTGTGACTAGTTCAAGAGCTTTTCATGAAGGCTGTCACTTTTCCCTTCTTTAGAGTTTTTCATACATAGGTTAAAGGGGTCTGTATTTTGAGTCTTTTTAATACTGATTGAAGGCCTTAAAATAGAAACTGCAACTCTTAAATAAGAAGTATGAACAACTATGTTATGCACAGAAAAACCATGCCTGAAGGGAAGATTGGAGATACCAGTTTACTGAAAATACAATGACTTCAGAACCACATTGATTCATCAAAGCAGAAACGAATTGTCCCAAGGCAAGCAAGATAATCAAAAGAAATAAGAGGATCTCTATGAATATAGCATAAATGTTGTGTGCCTACAAAAGGAATAGTAGGGTTTGGTTCTTATACTTCAATAGCGTATGTATGTGATTTGAACAGAATAGGTGATAATGCTATTCTTAATTACTTTTAATCCCCCCTTCCCCCCCATTCCTTTACTATTGATTGGAAATAATAAAAGACATGCTAGGTAGGTAGGTAGATAAAAGTGCCATCAAGTCTGATGACTCTTAGTGACCACATTACTAGATTTTCTTCTAACCTGATCTTCAGGTCTTCCAATTGTGTACAATTATCATTGTACCTGAGTCCATCCACCTTGATCATCCTACAGTAGTTGTCTCTTATATAAAACATAACAGATAACAGATAATCACAGTTGGAGGGAACCTTATAGGTCATCTAGTCCAATCCCTGCCCAAGCAGAAGACCCTACACCATTTCTGACA